ATTAAGTGTACACTATACTTATTCTTACACCATTAGTGTAACCTTTTCACCTTGACATAATAAACTTAGCTAGACATAATGAAAGAAAGAAAAATAAATAAACAAAATAAGAACATAAATAAGATAAAAGTTAACTAAGTAAAGGAAAGGAAATGAAAGGCATAAACTTGATATTAATGAAAGTAAAGCATATAAACATTACAAAAAATACAAAGAGAGAAAGCAAGAGCATGATCTTGATCTGGAGACCAAGATGCCTAAATGCATGGCAAATGCCTCCTTTTATAGGCCAAAATTAGGAACTATTGATTTTGACTGATTGATGAGTGGGTGGCCAACTGTTGACTTGGTGACAACACTTATCTTGTCCTTTCTACCCAAAATATCATTCATAACGTCAGAATTGGAACCACTTGAAAACATAAAAGTTCTAGGAAATTCTCTTAGCTTTCCAGGAAAAAACATTAAGGCCATTTGGACTTCTAGAACTCTAGATATGGGTCAAACATTGAATAATGTTCAGGCTGCAGGATAAATTTAGGCTTCTTCGTTGTGACTATAATTTGAACTTAAAAATGTCCTTTTAAAATCTTGAGCTCCTATGAAAGTTGTAGGCCTATGTCTTACATTTCCATCCATATAAAGTAAACCTAAATCTGAGATCTACAGCTCTAAATATGACCTAATTACTAAATAGTGTTCTGGTTTGGATTGCACCAGTATGTCTTTTCTAAGTTTGGCCATCTCTTTGTCCTTTCAATTTCAGTTCTTAAATTCATTAATCAATCCTTTTATTTATGTGATAGGCCTACATTTAAGATGAACATTTACCATAAATTAAAGGTATCTTATGTTATTAAATATGTTGTTATAAAACATGTTTAGTTAAGGACTTATCAATACTTCAAATGCAAATAATGATATAAAACCTTGATAAAAATGCACTTTTAAGTACTAATTACTTATCAATATATATATATATATGAAACTAGAAAAGTCTAATAATATTGAATAGGAAAAATGATATAAAAAACCATTCCCTTAAAATATGGAAAAAAAAACTAGAAACAATAAAAATACAAGATAGGAAAATAAAAATATGAAAAAATATATGAACTAAGAAAATATTTATTTTTCTAGAAAAGTTCTTGCAGTAATCTCTCCTAGTTGGAAAGAACTCATATCTACCATGAACATCCTTTTATATGTAGCTCATCACATCGTCGATCCCTAACAATTTTATGCATGTCAGCAAGTCATGGATCCCACCACCAAGGTTTCTAATATCAACAACGCAAATAAAAACAAAACATTGGTTTCTGAATGCCTTTTTTTTTAATGAGGGAGAACCTCTCAATCCCTTTCAACACGATCATATAATGTTTTTCAATTTCTTTCAACTATTATTATTTAATATTACACAACAACTAACTATCGAAATCATTGAGTTTTAATACATGTTTTTTATGACCTCCAACCAAAACCACAAATAATCAATAGACTTTGATATTAACTAAGGCAGATGAAAGCAAATAATAATAGGTTTTATTATAAAACAAAATCTTTAAAAATCAAGAATAACATAACTATGAAAAGACTTTTAAAATACTTAATTTTATTCATTTATATTTTTACTTGATAAAATGTTAGCTATTATAATAACATTCATATAAAAAATTAAAAAACTCTAATAATACTAAATATAACAAAATAAAAGAAAAAAACCATTCTTTTCCAATAGAAAAATAAAAACTACAAAAACATAATAATACAAGATAAAAATAAAAAAAAAATATTTATTTTTCAAAAACAAAACCCATGCATCATCGAAGAGATAAACCTTCCAAAACCAACAATTTTAATTAACCCATTTTCCTCACAAAGAGAGATTTAAATTTGTAAAAATTCATTGGAAAAGTGAATCATCATTTTGATGGGCCATGCATGTCTCTAAGGCAGCAAACCATTTTCTTTATTTTACATTATTATTAGCTTTTCCTTTTTCCTTTTTTTTTTTTTTAATTTTGTGCACATTTTTTAATTTATATCACGTTCCCTTGGAAGTTTGAAACCAGCCCTCAACAACCACAAAAATTCCCTGCCCTACCTATATATATATATTTCACACAATAACGCAGACCATTCGTTTCAAAATCTTTGTGGAAATTTAACGAACCATTGCCACCAAATCGGATCACCATGGTTTCTCCGCTGAGCCTATCAAAAAAAGTGTGCGTTATTGGTGCTGGACCATCGGGGCTAGTGGCCGCTAGGGAGTTGAGAAAAGAAGGTCACAACGTTGTGGTTTTAGAACAAAGATATGATGTTGGTGGTCAATGGTTATATGAGCCTAATGTAGAGAGTGAGGATCCGTTAGGTAAGAAAAAGTTTTTACAAGTGCATAGTAGTATTTATGCCTCTCTTAGGTTAGTATCTCCTAGGGAGATCATGGGTTTCACTGATTTCCCATTTTTGGTCAAGAAAGGCAGAGACACAAGGAGGTTTCCTGGGCATAGGGAACTTTGGTTGTATCTCAAGGATTTTTGTGAGCACTTTGGTTTGAGGGAAATGATAAGGTTTAACACTAGTGTAGAATACGTACGGATGTTAGAGTATGATGGGATCGGGAAAGACTTGAAATGGATGGTGAAGAGCAGAGACAAAAGCAGCGAAGAAACGGCGGTGGAAGAGGTTTTTGATGCGGTTGTCGTGGCTACTGGTCATTACTCTCACCCTAGGTTGCCTACCATCAAAGGTTTGTTAAAAGAAATCCCTCTTCCTTCAACAGTACTTCGAAAAAGAATGGGAAAAGGAGCTATTGACTTTAGATGAAAGAATCTGTGATCATGAATTTTCTTCACGCTCACGTCATGTAGACCGCCACTAAACGAAGACGAAACGATCAACAAATTTAGATGAACCAAAAGCTATTCTCCCTTTCCTTCTTTTTATGACATGCTCATGTTTACTTTCAAATAAATGATTTTGTTTATTTTCGTGCACTAATTTCAAGGGATGGATACTTGGAAAAGGAAGCAAATGCATAGTCACATTTACAGGGTTCCAGAGCCGTTCCGCAATGAGGTAATGCAAAAGTGCCTTCTCCTTTCAAGTCCCTCCAAATTACTAAAAGGGTTAATAACAAAATCAATTCTAAATTACTTATTACTACTGCAGGTTGTTGTGGTTGTGGGAAATTCGCTAAGCGGACAGGATATATCAATGGAGCTTGTGGAAGTGGCCAAGGAAGTCCACCTTAGTGCCAAATCTCTTAATATTACAGAGGGTTTATCGAAAGTCATCTCTAAACACGAGAACTTGCATCTCCATCCACAGGTGATATTACTGTTTTTTTTTTTTTTTTCACAGTCTTATAAATATTTACTTTGATGATATATTTATGATCAATTTGCAGATCGAGACCCTCCAAGAAGATGGTCGAGTTGTGTTCGTGGATAGCTCTTGGCTCATTGCCGACACTATCTTACATTGCACAGGGTAAAATCAAAATTCAAAATGGAATCCATACTTTAATTGTTTTGGTGAACTTCACATAGAGAGTAGATTAAGTTTTGTGATGCTTAAGTTGTAAATACTGAGTATTATTGCTGATAAAATCAAATGAGAAATATAGTCTGGAGGATATATATTCAGATCAAACTTGGGATCCTGAAAAGCGCTAACTGATTATTTTTACTTATCAACCTTGTTTAAATCATAAGAATACATTTTAAGATTTCATAAAAAATGAAAATTAATTTCATCCAGGTTATGTTAGTGGCAATCAAATAAAAGGTCTGTCTCCCAGCCAAAAAAACATTGCTTGATTGAATTATCATGATCTTGACTGTGAGATGCTCTTCAGTATTGCGACCCTACATTCACATAAAGGGGGGCAATCTTGCAGAACTACCCATGTCGCGTATCATGACGAATCCTTTTTCTTCTTCATCTTCTTCTTCTTCTTCTTCGTCTTATTATTATTAATTTCAGGGATGCATTGTTGTGATAAAACAATGATGGTTCAAATTCGGTCGTGTAATTATTTGTGCATGTAGGTATTCATACACATTCCCATTTCTTGACACCAAAGGGATAGTAGCTGTGGATGATGATAGAGTGGGGCCCTTGTATGAGCACACCTTCCCTCCAGCGCTTGCTCCTTCTCTTTCTTTTGTAGGCATACCTAGAAAGGTAAAGATCTTATCATTCCCTTCCAACGTACCATCATCCTCAGCTCACGTTATTTATTTATTTATTTATTTATTTGGTCGTTAGAGATTACATCTTTCCAGTAAAGTGGACAGTATAATCTCAAGCGTTTAATCTCGTTAATTCAGATCATAGGGTTCCCTTTCTTTGAGGCCCAAGCAAAATGGATTGCTCAACTACTTTCAGGGAAAAGAACGTTGCCATCACGGGAGGAAATGATGCACTCCATTGAGGAATTCTATAGATCAAGGGATGCTGCTGCCATTCCAAAGCATTATACCCATGACATTGCAGATTTTGAGGTATTCCTCTTGATTTCGTGGATACATGGTCAATTCACTTAATTGGCCATCAGCACTGATCATAAATACAAGATGCTAAGGCCATCAGCACTTTTGTAGTCCTCTTGCTCTTGGATACATGGTGAATTCACTTAATTGGCTTTTACTTGCAGTACTGTGATAGATATGGCGATCATATTGGCTTCCCACACTTGGAAGAATGGAGAAAACAACTTTGCTTGTCGGCCTTGGTAAATGCTGATGCCAACTTGGAGGCGTACCGTGACTCGTGGGAAGATCATGAGCTGCTTCAAGAGGCTCTTCAAAGTCCTCATTTTACTCAACTTGGAGCTGAAGACCCCACATTTTAAAGCCATTGGGTTTTGTTTGGACCATTCCTTTTCCCCCCTTTTTCTTTTGGGTTCAATTAGGACCACTATTTCAATTGCAAGAAAAAAGAAGCCCTTGAAAAAGAGAGAAGAAAAGGGCGATTCTTGTTTAGCAATGTAGTACTTAAGTTAAAAAGAGACATTAAAATATCGACATGCTACTCGTTTTCCCCGATCATTTGGGCAAACATACTTTCACTTTTCAGTAAACAAACTTCTTCTTTTTTTAGACGAATGCCTGAGAAATATCTCGTTTAGCAATAGTAAACTACTATGGTATGGTTTGAGGTGGCATTTGGTTTATGGGAATGCATTCTCCTCTCTATAATCACTCTCATGAAAAATGATTCTTGAAAAGGACTCTTAAGAATATAAAATGCGTTAGCTTAGCAATGTAGGATTCAAAGTTTTTTTTTTTTTCCTGTGTTTATTGCGTTCCTAAGAATTCTAGAGTTATATGAGGTAAATAATTTTATTATTATTATTATTATTAACCAATACAACATATTTAAAGAATAAAATAATACCTTAAGCAAATTTGATCTATTATAAAAAAAAAAAGATTGTAAGTATTTTTTTAAATAATCTTTTATACTTTTACTTTTTGTGATAATTTTTTAAAATATATGTTTAAAAAGAAAACACATTCATCACAATATTCAATTTTACTTTTAATACATATGAAAATTAAGGCAATTTTTTTATATGTACTAACTTAATCCCACAAATTCTTTATATTGTTCTCCTAATCCATTTTTCCTTTTCTTTCTTTCTTTCAACCTTTCCTATATGTTTCATTTTAACACTTAAAAATATATTTCATTTATACTCATAACTTTCATGTTCTTAGACTTAGTGAATTCATTTCCTTAAAAAATATCCATATTACCCTTCTACATTTTTTTTTCCACAACATTAATGGTTTATCAAGTTAGATCGGTAAATCTATCTAATTTAATAAAATTTTGGTAAAGTCTCCCTTATACAAGGGTCTACCCCAAATGTTATGCCGCTAATTCTCTAATTCATTGAATCATATTTGACATTTAATACAACAAAAGGAATAATAAATACAAGATACTAAGGCTCGTTTATTTATTGGAAAGTAGTTTCTTTTAAAAAAATAGCTTTCTTGAAAAATAAATTACTGACAAGTGAATTATTTTTCAATGTTTGATAGTGTTATGGAAAATAAATTAAAAAATATTTTTCAATATTGGGCTATGTCATAAAAAATAAGTTGGAAAATAACTTATTATTTTTTTTCAAGTTTATTAAAATAATAAAGAACAAATCTTACAAATTAAAAAGTTGAATGAAAATAAAATTGCAAAAAAACAATCTAATTTCATAAATTATCTGAAATAAAATAAATAATAATCAAAGTAATTGAGATTAAATCTAATAGATAAAAAAGTTGAAACATGATGAAATTAAAAAAATAATAAATAACAATTTCATAAATTATTTCAAATAAAATAAATAACATTTAAAAGAATGAGGATTAAATCTGATAGATAAACAAATTCAATTAGAAAATAATAAGAGAAAAGCAAATAACAATCATAAAAATCAAGACCAAAGTTGATATAAAAATTAAATAAAATAGAATTCTAAGGGATGAAATTGAATTAAAAAAAAAGATTCAAAACAAAATATATAGCAATCAAAAGTATTAAGATCAAATTTAATATGATTAACAAATAACATGATATTTTTAAATTTTTCACAACTTCTGAAAAGTATTTTTTTATCCAAAATAAAAGGAAAACACTTTCTTAGAAACTAAGCTAAATTTTTCTTTGACTAGAAAGTATTTTTCGTTGACTAATTTTCTTGATAACAAACAAACGTAGAAAAGTCTAGAAAGTAGTTTCTAAAAAACCACTTCATGGAAACAAACTAGGTATAAAGTACAAAAGAGTTAAGTTAATTATGGTTATAAAATGATTAATTACAACAAAATATGAAATCCTACACATTATACACTAGAAAGTGCACAGGAAGTGCGAGGTGCAGCTCGGCAGCACATTGGTGATATGGGTTTACTCGACTATGTGCTGAAATCAATGAATAATGTAATCGATGAAAGTCACATTGTTTACCGTGCTGTGAACCTATCCACTCGGGTTTTGGAATACATGATTCATGAGCTTAGTAATCGTGTTCTGATCAATGAACTAGAACTTGAAATAGTTCCTGAGCCACTTCCAATACTTGCTCTAGTGCCTAGGGCTGATGTTTATAGTGATGTCATCTACTTCAATACAAATGTACTACTGTTGTATTGGGTTACCCGAAATTAAAATTGGTTGAGTTAGCTACTCGAGAAATTTTGGACAGCAAGTAGTGAAGAAGTGACCTTTTAAGGATGAAGATGATCAATTTATGAGATTTATTTGCCAATTGATGTCAAGTTTAAGAGAGCTAAAATATGAGTTGATAAGGGAGCCCGGTGAGCTTATAATGGTTCCACCCTATGCTATAGTTGGTGGATGAAAGAGACCTTGTTAACTAAACTATTACTAAAGTGTAAATCACCTTATCCAGTTGTAAGTGATAAAACTATAACACATATAACCATATAATAATAGACTAATTAATATTCAATTTAATAATTCAAATACAATCATTAAAAGACATGACCAATATTTCTTTCACATATGCATCTATATTATAGCTTTCAAATTCAAACCTTTTTATAATTTCACTAATTTTCAATTTAATTATATTCAAATCCTAACCAGAAACCATATACTCATTCTTTAGTATCCATAATTACATTTCAAATGTCAAATTATGATACTTTATTAATCCATTGGTCTACTTCTAGAACAACATATTACACATATCATTAGTCTCCATCTAAGATGACAAACTAATTATATCATTGGTCTCCATTCGAGAACAAAGACTACTCATATCATTAGTCTATGTTCGAGTAGACAAACTACTCATATCATTAGTTTATATCTGAAGCAACAAACTACTCATATCATTGGTCTACGTCCGAGTAGACAAACTACTCATATCATTAGTCTATGTCCAAAATGACAAACTACTCATATCATTGGTTTACGTCTAAGTAGACAAACTACTTATATTATTGACTTTTCACCTTTCTCTTTTCTTTTTTTCCTCCATTTCTATACTATTTCATTCTCACCTATATACATCTTTTTGAATCTCCCTTTTAAATATGTAACAAATTACATAAAATCAATTTAAGAGAATAAATAAAGAAATTTAAAAAGGATAAAGTGCATAAGCATCTACTTGCTCCTCCATCTCTAGTTAAACGAATCCCTTCAACTATATATGATCTAATACTTGACGCCTCCCTTGATCAATAACTTCTTAACTAAAGCATGTTTTATAATCACATATCTAATAATATAAGATACCTTTAATTTATGGTAAATATTTATTTAAAATGCAGGCTTATCACATAAATAAAAGAATTGATTGATGAGCTTATGAACTAAAATTGAAAGAACAAAGAGATGGCCAAACTTAGAAAAGAGATGTCGATGTAGTCCCAACCGGAACATTATTCGGTAATTGGGTCATATTTGGAGCTGTAGATCTCGGATTTAGGTCTACTTTATATAGATGGAAAGGTAAGACATAGGCCTACAAAATTCATATGAAGCCTAAGATTTAATAAGGCTATTTTTAAGTCCAAATTGTAGCAACAATGAAGAAGTCTAAATATGTCCTGCAGCCCGAATACTGTTCAGTATTTGGCCCATATCTGGAGTTCTAGAAGTCCAAATGACCTCCATTTTTTTTCCTGGAAAGTTGAAACAATTTCTTACAACTTTTATGTTTTCAAGTGATTCCAATTATAAAGTTATCAATGATGTTTTAGGCAGACAATAGAAGATAAGGATTGTCACCAAGTCAAGAGTTGGCCACTCACTCATCAATTAGTCATCAAATTAATAGTTTTCAATTTTAGCCTATAAAAGGAGGCATTTGCCATGTATTTAGACATCTTGGTTTCCAGATCAAGATCATGTTCTTGCTTTCTCTCTTTATATTTTTGTAATGCTTAAGTTTTATTTTCATTAATATCTTGTTTATGCCTTTCAATTCCTTTCCTTTACTTAGTTAGCTTTTATCTTATTTATGTTCTTATTTTATTTTTTTATTTTTATTTTTTGTATTATGTTTAGTTAAGTTTATTATGTGAAGGTGAAAAGGTTACACTAATGGTGTAAAAATAAGTATAGTATAAACTTAACATGGACTTTAATGTTTGATCCTAACATGTTTTATATTTGTTATCTTGTTCACTCTTTAATACTTTGCTTATTAAATGACTAATCTAGATTTATGTTATATAACACTTGGTACAACAAATGCTTGGCACTTTCGTGGTCCAACCGTATGGTATAACCTACACCTGTGCTATGAAAGGAATAATTAAACTCCTTTTCGTTCAATCCTGGTCTTGCCGGGTTATTTATTACTTTAATACTCCTCCCCTTGGGAGAAAACATCAATCTTTTGGTCGTATCATGAATCTCGTGATTATATGGCTCGAACTTCCAATCAAGATTGAGATTTGATCCAAAAAAGTAGAAAGTGGTCTGAAAGGAGTGTAACATAATGAAAACTTATTTTAAGAAAACAACACTATCAAAATTAAGTCGAATGATGCCATGAAGCTAATTAATTTTTTATAATTTAGAATAAGTTCATTCTAAGAACCAAAGAATACAAAAATCTCTCTTATACGTTAAACTAAAAAGTTTAGATGTGTTATGCATCAAAGTTTTTCCAAAACTTAGACTTACAAGAGTTTAAGTACTTTTAAGAAATTAACCCTAATAAATCTACCATTGTGGGTTGAATTAATTCACTTACAAAACTGACTCAAAATTATACTAGTAAGCCCAAATCCTAATCCAAATAAGCCTTAGATCCTAGTAGAAGAAAAAGTATTAATTAAGCTCAAACAAACCTTGAGATATAGCTAAAATAATAAAAATAAACCCATAAATTAATTACCTTTATTGTTGTGAGAAGAGAAAAGGAAATGAAAGCAATACAAGTCTAATAAAAAGCTTATTTATAGCTTACAATGTTACCCAATGACCCTAGAAACCAATTTGTTATTAAATATCATCATCTCTCCTTTCATTTTGTAGTTACGATGAATAAAAAAACCTT